CATCGAACTCAGCGGTTACAGCCTTCAAAGGTCATTGTTACGGGTGTAACAGGCAGGGACACCGGAAGTCTGAATGCCCAGAGAAGCGGAAGAAGCGGAATCAGGGGCAGAGTTCCAACGACCAGGGAAATGCTTAGTATCAGTAGTTAACGGGCCTACTACTGATGGAACCTTCTCGCCCGTGACCGATGTCCCTCATCAAGTACTAATACCGATCCACGCAATCGACCAAACTAGGTTGAATAAGGAGGGTGCAGTGACGGATTACCCCATTTATTTAGAGGGTAGGGTTCAAGGGGAAAAAAATAAAATCTTCGTGGATGGGGGAGCCAGCCACAGTCTCATCAACATTGCCACAGCCAGAAAAATGAAGGTACTCTTAGATACAGTGACGGAAGCAATTGTCCGGAAGTTTTGCATTAACTAGGATTTTGGGGCTTTCCGACCACCACTAAAATCCATAGTAATACACTGGATCTAAATTAATGCCAAAAGGTACACAAAGAATACATCCTGACAATAGTTTCCTAGGACAAAGAGCAAACAGCCAAACAACGTTTCTTGTGCCTAGTCCACCGAACCTTGGCCAAGATCACCACTCGCACCCTCCTAGGCATATTATCTGCGAGGTTAGTGCAACGCGAAGATCCTTGCAAAGATTTGCACTAACCTCGTAGATAACATGCATATGAAGGTGCGGTTGGTGATCAAGGCCAATGGTTGGTGAACTAGGTACTAGAAACGCTCTTCGAAAGTTTGCTCTTGTCCTGGGAAACAATTGTCCGGGTGTACTCTTTGTATACCATCTGGCACTAAGTTAGATCCAATGTAATATTATGGATTTTAGCGTTGTGAAAACATCCACTATGTGCCCCTCCTAAAGCGTACCACCATTAAGCACTAAGACTTTATGTATAGTGGTAAGAAAGCCCCAAAACTCTAGTTGATGCAAAATATTCTGACAATTGTTTCTGTCACCGTAGGTGTCTACCGGAGATTGACACTCGACTAGTCGACAGGACCCCACCAACAATAAAACACAGGGCGGACATGATTAGGGTACGCTGTGGAGCTGAATTCAACTTTTTGATGGGAATGCTAGCAACTACACTCGACGGCTTCGATATGTTGTTGGGACGGGACTTGCTGCAACGTTTCAATTTGAAAATTGAATGGACGACCGGCAGTTGTTCCGTCTAGATCAATGGCCGTAGTGTGACATTACTAGAATGGATGAAGGGGATCAAATGGGGATGTAGGTGAACTTCGTGACGATCAAACGAGCAATCGCACGGGGTGCAGAAGTCTTCGATGTAGTCGTTCGTGCCGTCGACATGGCATCGCAGCTGTCCGATTTACAATAGCGAAGCTGACAGCAGCAGTGCCGATGCGATCTCGCACTACTGATTCGCAGATTTCCGCAGATATTTCCAGACGACCTGCCCGAGGGATTACCACTAGAACGGGCCTTTGACCATCGAATCGAATTAGAACAAGGGACACAACCCATAGTGCAGTGGCAATTTCGGTTAACACAGCCGGAGTTAGAGGAATTACGAAAGCAGTTAGATAAATTACTAGAGAAAAAAATCATTCGCCCGAGCCCTCACGATTGCTAGTGTGACCGCCACACTACAGCCTTGGCATGATGGCAAAGTGTCAACCTCCACAATTGCTAGTGTGACCGCCGCTCTACAGCCTTGGCATGATGGCAAAGTGTCAACCCGCACGATTGCTAGTGTGACCGTCGCACTACAGCCTTGGCATCACCCCCACGATTGCAAGCTTGAAGGGGGGGATGATCAGAGCTATAGGCACTCAGGTCAACTCATCTGTTGATCCATTTGCTTGCGCGGTCGTCGCGCTGCAGCCTGAGCATGACGCCCACGACTGCCAGCTTGGTTGGGTCGTCGACATGCACGTGCATGAGGTACGCCTCCAAGGGGGCGAAGAGCCTGTTGACGGCGTGCTCGGAGAAGGCATGCACGTGCACCTGCCTCAGCTCGTATGCACCGCTGGCGATGCGCAGGCGATAGGTGCTGGCGGGGTTCGGCACCACCTCTGGGGGGGGAAGGGGAAGACGCTCGAAAGAGAGTGAGGAAGTGAAAAGGAGGCCGAGGAGAGAGAGGGGGGTCAAGACACGTACAAAAGCAGGTGGAGGAGAGGGGGCAAGACAACTGGCTTTTGAGGATGTGCCACTCACGGACGGTGAAGCCCTTGTTGACGACGGTGGCAGTGGTGGCTGCCTCGTCGTAGTCCAGAGCAAACCTCTCTAGGTCGTTCACCACCCGCGCCTCGTCCATCACTATGTTGATGGGCGACTGCCTCTCGCCTGACGCACACATGCCCTGGCAGGGAATTGGAGGGGGAAAGGGAGGGGGGGGGAATCACGACAATCTCCATTCCACTTCCAAGGTGACTTAACGCCCCAGATGGGATTGGTGTGGGAAAAGGGGGAGATCATGGCCAAGATGATGTGCTTGTTGTGGGTGGGCAATGAAGTGCCCCCCCAGGGGCCGCGTCCACGCACTTCCATCATCAGTGATCACTCACCACCCAGTCGAGCCTGCTCTTGCCGCACTTAACATCCGCAGTCTAGATTGAATCCCCCAACCCCTAACCGCGAACCTTCCCCGCCTCTCCCCTCCCGCCCTTTCCTTCCACCTCTTCCCCTTACAGGCGAATGACTCATCTCCTAGTCCAGCCCGCTCTTGCTGTAGTCCACACCATTGCCCTGAGCGCCATTCACGGCGGGGAGAGCAGCGAGGAGAGCGGCCGCCGCCAGCAGCGTGGTAGCCAGCAACTGCGCCGCGTTCAGCTTCAAGGAAGGCGCCATTCGAAGCTCGACGCGAGACAAGGGTGTTAAATGCACATCATCATGAGTGCATATCGTCCTAATGTCCTGCCGTATGATCGTCTCATTCGTGCATACATGTGTGCATGAGCATATATCACATTGCTCGCCATCTTGGATATTCTCATCATCCTGATTTTCTCCCAAGATTGAATGCATGGAAAATGCAGGAGAAAGCGTGAGCATTCCAACGACCCCAAGATCGCCCCAATCCGACCGATGATGGCCGAGGTTACAAGAATTCCAAGATTGGAAGTTCTAATGACAAATGCTATACCTCGGGTATCTCATGGGTCTTCTTATAATGGGAATCTTGTGGTTAGATGGTTGGGAAGAAAACTTTGACTTTTGGTTGGGGTGGCTTGGTTGCTACAAGCCAAAATGTGCAAGTGTTGCAAATGTTGCAACATCTAGCCAAATCCAATCTCTTTGGATTTGGCATGTGTCCTCACATGGGCAACTTGGAGAGGGGCCTATGGTGTGCTTCTAGGAAGGTTCTAAACCATTCCTAGACATCAGGAAACCTTGTTTCCCTTCCAGGGCCCTCTTAGAGGTATGAACCCCGAACCATGTCTATATGGTTGTGTGTCTTGCAAGTTCTATCTTCTTTTCTAAGGCAACGACTAGCAGTTGCGTTTTGATTCAGTTCTCACTCTAGAGTTAATATTTTCACCTGATTTAAATTTCAGATGACTCTAGACTTATAGGCGCGTCCTTCCACCAAGCAGATTGGCGTTTGGTTGAATTGCGTTTCTGCTTAATTCGTGCAAAGTAGGCCGATCCTGTCAACAAAGGGAAGGGCGAGGACAGGGAGGTTGCGAGAATGAGGACGGCGTGTTGGGTTTTTAATACGGCAGTACAAGTCAGGAATTAGGTTTGGAAGCTGCAGAGCTGCTCGGCTTGCCAATTAACGATGGAGTGGCGATGGATGAAACAGATGTCATTTTAGCGCCCTTTTATGATCAGGTCGGATTTGGAACGGTCAGAAAACGAGGGTTGCGATGGGTGGAGCTCGTTGGAACTGGCAATGCGGGAATTGCGGGCACTGCGGGCAATGTGGGCACAAGGACGGGTAGAACCCCTCGCATCGCCGCGCGAGGGCGAATCAAACCGCCTGGGCGCATGGCGCGAACTTTTGCAGCCCGTTCTCTGGATAAGGTTCCAAGGCGCTTCGACCGGGTCACAGATCCTGGTGAATCCATGCTGACGTGGAGAACAGGTGGTGGGACGGATGCCCGGGCTCCGACTGGTGACGTCTGCTTCTGGTGGCTCTTCGGAGCAAGAGGGAGGGGCTCGTCGAGCAGCGAAAGCCGTGATTGGCTAAAGCATAGGCGGTGCGACGGACGTTGCGCGGGCTCGGACTGGTGAAGTATGCTTCTGGCAGCTCTTCGGAGCGAGGGGTGGAAGGGTCGTCGAGAAGCAGAAGCTTTGATTCGCTGAGCTAGGCGGATGGGACAAGGTGCCACCCGTGCGCAGATTCCGTGGGAGAAGTGAAAATGGACGGGAACGGCAAGGACTTGACCGGCCAGCCTGCCTGTCTGCCGCGTAGCTTAGCGGTCGTACTTGACGGGCTATCTTGCCGGCCCGCCGCGTAGCTTAGCGTGATGCCCGTGCTGGTGCCGGCGAAGTTCACGGGACAGTCGGATTTGACATGCCATGAGTAACGCATCGCGTCGCGACTCCTCCAATGTAGCCTTGGTCTCTCCAGGCGGTTAGGCGGTTGTCATATGGAGGAGGTTTTACGGGGGGATGGATGGGACGTGTGGCGGTATATCCACCTTACAGGCTCCCCTTTATCAAAATGAAGCACCTTGTAGACTCCTGCATGTTATTTGGATATACGCACTAGTAGCACTAGTAACACAAGTAGTCTCGAATCCCTAAGGAAGCCACGAAACGTGGAAATAAATTTCTTTAGAACAAAACAAGGTGTATACATATGCATCTGATCACGTGGGAGAATAGATAGGATAAATGTTGACGTTTGATGCATTATTTTGAATAAGAGCTCAAAGTTATTAACTAAAGCTGATGATAACATGTACCGGGGCCTCCTTGGACGAGGTTGCGAGCATGTCGGAAGGATGACCTGGTGTACCAGTAACATCAACCTTTCCTTTTACTTCCCAGCCCAGATTATACCAGTATGACAGGCAAACCGCCTAGAATCGCGCTATGCCACGCAGCAGACCAGCGTGGCGATCCGTCAATTCCGTCAGCCCCGTCCCGTCTATTCCGCTTCTCCCACCGAATCTTCGCACCCCGAACCACCCCAGTTGGACCAGCTCAGCCAATCACGGCTTCTGCTGCTCGTCGACGGCTCCCCCTTGCTCTGAAGAGCCACCAGAAGCAGAAGTCACCGGGCGTCCATCCTAGAGCCGTCTAACGGCAGAATCCACGTCAGCATGGATCCAGGGAGCCACCAGCAGCAGACTCTGCTTTGGACGTCCCCATCCGAGCCCGGCCGTCTATACCACCGTCTAGAGCCGTCTAGCGGCAGCATCCACGTCAGCATGGATCCAGAAGAGCCACCAGAAGCAGGCTCTCCCAGTCTGAGCCCGTCGAGTCAGTCCCCGCGGCAGAAGCAGTCGCCACCAGTCCAAGCCCGGCCCGTCTGTCCCACCGCCTAGTAGATTCCGTCTCTGCGGCAGTTTATGGGGCAGTTTCCACGTCAGCATGGATCTACGAAGCAACGGTGACTCCGTCGGAGCGCGTCGGAATCTTATCCCGAAAATCGGGACAGCGGGATGATGTTGTTTTCGCTGCAATGCGCGACCAAGCAGACACCGGTGGTTTCGCTTTGCAGTGGCTCGCAGCGCGTGCAGCTCCGAGTCGCGCGCGAATAAGTAGGCTAAGACGCAGCGCCGCGTCGCCGCGGTCGTCCCCTTCCCCTTTCCCCTTTCCCCTTTCCTCTTTCCCCTGCGAGAAGCACCCCTGTTGTAACTGACGAGAGCCATAAAAGGCCGCTATCTCTCATTGGTTTCATTCAGCACTGTTTACGAGCTCCGCCCCTCACCTCAAGGTTCTGAGCTCGGCCCCTAAGCTCAAGCTGACCACGAATCTCTCCCACTTCCCGGATTCCTGCTTCCTCTGAGAAGACAAGTCCCCTTGTCGACGTCACGGTTCTCTCGCGTCCAACTGCCCATGGCTCGCTCCCTGAACCTCTCCGCGCTTATGGCAGCCGCTGCAGCGCTGCTCGCCGCTCTCCCGGCCGCGAATGGCGCTCAGGCCGGCGGTGGCGTGGACTACAGCAAGAGCGGGCTGGAATGGGAGGTGCGTGGCTCAGGCACTAGGGGTGAGACCAGGTGGGGAGGGGTGGGTTGGGTGGGAAGGTGTTGAGAGGGGTGAGAGGGGGTGGCGGTGGAGTGGACTACAGCAAGAGCGGGCTGGACTGAGAGGTGTGTGCCCCGCCAAATTACAGGGGGAAGGGGGAAGGGGGAAGGGGGAAGGGGGAAGGGGGGAAGGGGGGAGAGTGAGGGGGAGGAAGGGAGGGGGGTTGTTGTTTGGTGGTGTTTGGCAAAAGGTAGAATCCATCACTCAATGATGTGGTGGTTGTTGTCATCATTGGGGGGAGGAAGGGAGGGGGGGTTGTTGTTTGGTGGTGTGTGGTGTGCACTACGGCAAGAGTGGCCTCACCTGGGAGGTTGAGTGATGGATACATGCAACCACTGGGTGGGTGGGTGGGTGGGTGGGTGGGTGGGGGGCGTACAAGGTCCTCGTCTCTCGTATCCCCTGGGAACTTCAACCTCTTTCTTCCCCCCACAACCCCCTCCCCACAACCCCCTCCCCACAACCCCCTCCCCACCCTCCAATTCCATCCAGGGCGTGTGCTCCTCAGGCGAGCGGCAGTCGCCCATCAACATAGGGATGGACGAGTGACACGACCGCCCTCCTTCTCATCCGCTGTGCTCTCAACTTTCTCCCATATGCCCCCCCCCCCTCCCCTCCCTCCCATTCCCCCCCAGGGCGTGTGTTCGTCAGGAGAGAGGCAGTCGCCCATCAACATAGTGATGGACGAGGCACGGGTGGTGAGCGAGCCGGAGAAGTTTGCTATGGACTACGACGAGGCAGCCACCACCGCCACCGTCATCAACAAGGGCTACACCGTCCGTGAGTGCCACATCCTCAAAAGTCAGTTTGTCCTTAATTCAGTTTGGCTTGCCCTTAATTCAGTTTATCTTCTCCACATGCTTTTGTACGTGTCTTGACGCCCCTCTCTCTCCTCTGCCTCCTCCTCACTTCCTCACTCTCTTTCGGGTGTCTTCCCCTTCCCCCCCCAGAGGTGGTGCCCAACCCCGCCAGCACCTACCGCCTGCACATCGCCAGCGGCACATACGAGCTGAGGCAGGTGCACGTGCACGCCTTCTCCGAGCACGCCGTCAACGGGCTCTTCGCCCCCCTGGAGGCGCACCTTGTGCACATGCATGTGGACGACCCCTCCAAGCTGGCAGTCGTGGGCGTCATGTTCCGGCTGCACCGCGACGACCACGCGAGCAAATGGGTCGACACGTGAGTTCACCTGCGTGCCTGGAGCTCTGATCATTCCCACCTCCAAGCGTGCAGTCGTGGGGGTCATGCCAAGGCTGTAGCACGGCGGTCACACTAGCACATGGGTTGACCTGAGTGCCCATAGCTCTGATCATTCCCACCTCCAAGCGTGCAGTCGTGGGGGTCATGCCAAGGCTGTAGCGTGGCGGTCACACTAGCACATGGGTTGACCTGAGTGCCCATAGCTCTGATCATTCCCACCTCCAAGCGTGCAGTCGTGGGGGTCATGCCAAGGCTGTAGCGTGGCGGTCACACTAGCACATGGGTTGACCTGAGTGCCCATAGCTCTGATCATTCCCACCTCCAAGCGTGCAGTCGTGGGGGTCATGCCAAGGCTGTAGCGTGGCGGTCACACTAGCACATGGGTTGACCTGAGTGCCCATAGCTCTGATCATCCCCCCCTTCAAGCTTGCAGTCGTGGGGGTTGACACTTTGCCATCAAGTCGTGACCCTCTCGTTTCCACACGGGCCCCCTCCATCGCACCCAGGTGGTTGCCCAAAACTCCCTCAGAAATCAATGCGGAGGCCAGCATCGACATTCCGAGAAACTTCTGGCGGCAGCTGGTGGACGCGTCCATGGGGTTCTGGCGCTACCCCGGGTCGCTCACCACCCCGGGCTGTGATGAGATCGTCGAGTGGCACGTGCTGCGCAAGGCGCAGTTCCTCTCCGTGACGCAGGTGAGAGAGAGAGGCGCAGTTCCTCTCCATGGAGCAGGTGAGAGAGAGGCGCAGTTCCTCTCCGTGACGCAGGTGAGAGAGAGAGGCGCAGTTCCTCTCCATGGAGCAGGTGAGAGAGAGAGGCGCAGTTCCTCTCCATGGCGCAGGTGAGACGAGCTCTTAGTGTGGGGCGTTTTTCACTGTGGCGTCTGTTTCTGTTTCAGCTTCCAAATCCCCTCTTCCTCTGCTACCGGTATGTGATTCCCCTCGGCACTTTCTCCCTCTCTCTCCACTCCCCCAACTGTTTCTTGTTTGCCGTGTTGCCCAGGCTGCGACGTTGATGAATCTGATGGCTGTGACGAACAAGGAGCGCACCAACAACCGCATGCCTGAGCCACTCAATGGCAGGGAGGTTACTTACTACCCTACTGTCACGGCGTGATGTTCCAGTATCTGACACCTACGCTGTTGCTGGTCTGCTCAATGGCCGGGAGGTCATTTACATGACTTCACTATAGTCACAGCCTGATTGATCACTCTTGCTAGCTTCATTTGGAAAAGGGGTTTTTGAGAATTGTAAAAAAAATCATGTACCGTAGATAATTTGGTTGAGGCTTCAGAAGCTTGAATGCATGATGTACACATGCAACTTGTATAATTTTGCCTTTCAAATGAACTGAGTACTTCCATTCATCTTGCTCCCAACAATTTGTGGATCGGCGTAGAAAGCTGGTAAGCACAGCAATAATCAACTACCATTGCCCATGACACTGACTCACTACAATTACTGCATTGCATTCATAACCACTCGCTTGTCCTGTAGCAAGTTGGTTTTTTATAATTCTAAAAAAACCAACTTGACAGGCGTCCTGCTGCGCCCACTTTTAGAATTATAAACCAACCAGGGATGGTTTTTTATAATTCTAAAAGTTGCATCCCATGCTACATCCTGCTGCGCCCACCACACTCCTTCCCACTGCTTGACAGGCGTCCCATGCTACATCCTGCTGCGCCCGTCACACTCCTTCCCACTGCTTGACAGGCGTTGTCTGAGGCAGGCAGCAACTGCATCGATGAACTCCTCGGTGTTGAGGTAGTCACGGCGCGACACACTGGAGTGATGGGGGAAGTGAAGGGGGAAAGTGTCTTAACGTAGGATTGAATGTCGAGAGAAAAACGTACAAGGGTATAAGCCTAAGTGTTGTACCCTCTAAGGTACGAACCTGTACAGTCTATACAAACATAACCTATATATATGTTTGACAAAGTGATGGGGGAAGTGAAGGGGGAATGTGATTGGGAAAGTGAAGGGGGAAAGTGAAGGGGAAAAGTGAAGGGGGAAAGTGGAGGGGAAAAGTGGAGGGGAAAAGTGAAGGGGGAAAGTGAAGGGGGAATTGATGGGGAAAGTTGGGATGGTGGTGGGGAAACGGGGCTGTGGGGTAACAGTGAGGGGCGAGATTTCACGTGCACCAATGAGCTTCTGTCGGTTGAAACGAGAGGGTGCAGCGAGAAGGCAGAGGACGAAACCGGCCGATTTGGACTGGTGGTCCAGTTATGAGGCCCCTCAAAACTACACTCCAGTTTTGAAGCGCCTCAAAACTAGCTTCTCTTGGTTGAAACGAGAGGGTGCAGAGAGAAGGCAGGGGACGAGCGGGCCAACTTGGGATGGTGAGGGGGGAGGCTGGAGAACTGGATAAAGATACGATGAGAAGGTGACCGAAATAATGACTGCCCATTTTTAAAGACGAGTTAACATGTTAGGATAATCATTCAGTGCACTCGCCCGCTGTGTGAGAGAGAAATTGAAGTGACTACTCAATGAAGGAATTGAAGAAGTTGTTTGAGTAATAGAACCAGGAGCATACACAGGAAAGCTGGGAAGGAAGGGAAGCTAGCAAGAGAAGGATGAACAGTACCACATGCAGTTGGGTAGGAACAGTACCCAACCACCATGAGAGCCACTTGTGTGGTCCCAATATTGTGGTCTTGGTGCTCGGGGGCTCCAAGCACTCCAGGGTTGGATTAACACCCATTGCACTTTGATGTGTACACCACAGGTTGGATATATATAATCTAACACTCAACGCACTTGCTTCCGTGCACCAGCGAGGCCAGGTCTCGGGTCATTCCACCGCTCTCCACCGTTTCAACGCACGCCGCCTCCAGCTCCCCACAGAACGATGCGAGCCTGCTGTTGCCGTCCAGAGAGGCCCTGGGAGGGGAGGGGAGAAGGTGGGTGGGAGGGAGGGAGGGAGGGAGGGAGGGAGGGAGGGAGGGAGGGAGGGAGGGAGGGAGGGAGGGAGGGAGGGAGGGAGGGAGGGAGGGAGGGAGGGAGGGAGGGAGGGAGGGAGGGAGGGAGGGAGGGAGGGAGGGAGGGAGGGAGGGAGGGAGGGAGGAAGGGAGGGAGGAAGGGAGGGAGGGAGGGGATAGTTAGCCAATAAGTGAAGGAGACGGTTTGGCTCCTCTAGAAGAGATCACATAACTCTCCACATGCAGCAACAGGGGAGTCTTTGTCCCCCACATGCTGCAACAGGGGAGTCTTTGTCCCCCGCATGCAGCAACAGGGGAGTCTTTGTCGCCCGCATGCTGCAACAGGGGAGTCTTTGTCCCCCGCATGCAGCAACAGGGGAGTCTTTGTCGCCCGCATGCTGCAACAGGGGAGTCTTTGTCCCCACCCACCTGTGAGCGAGCCCCTTGGACCGGGCGAAGATAGAGGCGATGCTGTTGGTGCTGGTCTCTCCGCCCTTCCTACTGTTCAGCACACCTACCTTCGTGTACAACAGGGCACTTGGTTCGTTCCAGCCCCCAACCCTCTTGTATACCCACCTGTGAGCGAGCCCCTTCGACCAGGCGAAGATGGAGGCGATACTGTTGGTGCTGGTCTCTCCGCCCTTCTGGTGCACGCGGTAATGTCTCGTAACAGTGCCGTGCGCTGCCTCTGCCTCCACCGTCGTCCCATCCGGACACACCTGGCCCGGCCCAGGGGGGTTTCGATGCAGTGCAATGCAATGCTTTGAATGTGGATAAAATTTTTGAGGCGCCTCAAAAACCATCCGGACACACCTGGCACAGGGGGATTTCGATGCAGTGCAATGCTTTGAATGTGGATAAAACACAAGCTCGGCTCTCCCCCCTTCTGGTGCACGCAATAGTGCCGGGTCACTGTGCCGGGTCACCGTGCCAGGTCACCGTGCCGGGTCACCGTGCCGGGTCACCGTGCCTGTGTGCTGCCTCTGGCACTCTGCTTCCACCATCTTCCCATCCGGACACACCTGCCAGGTAGGAACTCACGGACACACCTGCCAGGGAGGAACTTACGGAACCTTTAGGAAAACCCTTTCAGTGCTTGTTGGCGAACTTCCCTGAATAACATCGCTAAAAGGCTCCTACTTCATCGCTATTGCGTTGCCGCCAGAACCCAGCTGCCTGCCAGCATCAGTGTCTCTAAAAGAGTCCGAATGTGGATCGGCACTTAGTAAAAAGGATCACTTAGCAAAAAGAAGCACTCACCAGAATGCTGGTCATCAACCCAAGAGAGCCGAAACCTGCAAGGCGGAACAGATCAATTTCTTGTCAGGCAACCCAGAAAGCAGTGATAACCTAACCACCTAACCCACCCTGCAAATGATCTGATCGCTCCTTCTACCAATCACCCGACCCACCCCGTCTGCCAGCGTGTTGCTCCAATCCAAAGCACACAGCCCCATCTAACTAACAACAACGACAACGACAACGACTCACCCGAGCCAGAAGGTCGTTCTGATGCACGCCATCCTACCTCCCCTAGCCCCCCCCTCGCCCCCCCCTCTCCCCCCCATCTCTCCCCCCTCCTTCGTCCTCCCCCATACCATAGACACACCTTGCGCCAGCATGTCGCTCTGCACGTCCCCATCGTAGTTCTTGCACGCCCACACGAACCCCCCCGGGCTCTTGAGGCAGTACGCCACCATGTCGTCGATCAGCCGGTGCTCGTACCACACGCCCGCTGCCTCGAACCTGTGCCTCCATTCTGAGTCATACACCTGCTGGAATATGTCCTTGAACCTGAACAATGGAGCAGGGAACCCACAGGGCGGGGGGCACACACACGCATGCCTCTTGAGGCGGTACGCCACCATGCCGTCGTCTCAGCCGGCGTTGGTACCACGTGCCCGCTGCTTGAAACCAATTCCTCCGCTTGCTGGCTGTCATATGCTTGTTGGAAAATGTCCCTGAATGACTTATGAGTCGACTCAAATGTCCGTGAATGAATTTTGAGTCGACTCAAATGTCCGTGAATGAACCTGCATGTGAGGTGGGAAGGAGACACATGGCAGGGAAGGCCCATGACAGGGAAGGGAGCCCAGACAGGCGTGGCTCTCAAATGCATTCACTTGCTTGCTGCCTTTCATTGACGACTCGGCTCATGCCTTTCACTGGCCGCAGTATGCCACCATGTAGTCAATGAAAGGCAGCAAGCAAGTGAGGGAGCAGAGCACCACTTGGTGGTGGTTTTAGCCATACGTGGCAGCAGGCTTGTAGGACACTGTTTCTGCTCGTAAAAATTATTGCTCAAAGAAATAACTCTCGTGAGTTTGTAGGGCAGTTTTGATGGTTCGACTAGGCTCATGCCTTTCACTGGACTGGACGCAATACGCCACCATGTTGTCAATGAAAGGCAGCAAGCAAGCTTTTGAGTCGACTCAAAACCACCATGCTTTTGAGTTGACCCCATGTCTCCATGTTGTCAATGAAAGGCAGCAAGCAAGTGAATGCATTCGAGACCCACACACCCCACCTGCCATCGTATGTCTTGCGGCGGATGGTGTTCTTGGTGCTCAGGTGGAGCGGGTGCATGTGATGTGAGGATGAGAGCAGCTGCACAGCACAACTGAGGTACCATGCGATTCAGCATGCCCACCTGCCGTCGTATGTCTTGAGGATCGTGTTCTTGGTGCTCAGATAGAGCGGCCACCGCTTCTGGTACGCCATGGCCATGGATGACTCGGCGAATGCTCGGATGGACTGCAGTAAAAGGGGGACAAATTACAGTCAACAGGAGTCAATGCAGGTCAATAGTGTGCGCAGTGCTCAGGTAGAGCGGCCACTGCTTCTGGTACACCATGGTGCGCCATGGTACGCCATGGTACGCCATGGACACCACTTCTAGTGTCCCGGGGAAGGGTAATGTCCCGGGGAAGGGTAGTGTCCCGTGGAAGGGTAGTGTCTCGGGGAAGGGTATTGTCCGGGGGAAGGGTAGTGTCCCGGGGAAGGGTATTGTCCCGGGGAAGGGTATTGTCCCGTGGAAGGGTAGTGTCCCGGGTAAGCCTAGTGTCCCTGGGAAGCTAAGTGGCACACTGCCACATAGTGGCCCATTATGACGTCTGTAACCTGCAATGCAGTACACTACTGAGTCGACTCAAAAGCAGCCTGCTATGTTTTGAGGCGCCTCAATACATTCATTACCACATCTGTATTTGTCTTTTGAGAATTCTCGAGAGCCTATCACAGCCTTCATTACCACGTCTGCTGCAGACTGCAATGCAGCACATTCCTTACCGCATCTGTATTGTACATTGCAAGCGCCACACCACCATCACAACCATTGCTGCTGCTGCTGCTGACAGCGGGTCCTTTGAAATCATACACGTCCAGAACTTGAGTTGCGCCTTGAGGGGTTTCTGGTGTTAACAAAAAAACAAGCACCAAACATCGAGGACATATCTGTCGCATCGTTACCCTACCCCAAAAAAACCTGGGGATTTCAAACAGCAGGTGGGGACCACCACTTTGCACCTTGAAAATCATCACACTGCACCTGAAGATATCCACATTGCACTCAGTGCTTAACATATGTCATAAACTGCACTCACCATACACCAGCTTCAGTTTGCCTGGTCCCGGAATGGCCATCTCTGTGGCTATGTATTGGTGGACTCATGAGTGGTTACCGCACTTGCATATACATACCACACTCCGCACTCACCATACACCAGCTTCAGTTTGCATGGCCATCTCTGTGGCTCTGTATTGATCACCGTACGCATGTGTGGCTGCCACTCACACAGTGTTCAACATATGTCATAGACTGCACTCACCATACACCAGCTTCAGTTTGCCAGGTCCCGGAATGGCCATCTCTGTGGCACGGTACTGGTCGCCATAGGCATGCCGACCGATCACAATCGGCTTGGTCCATGCTGGGAGGAGATGCGAGGAAACGGGAGTGAAGGACAAAGAGGGAAGGGTTACGTGGCTCTGTACTGATTAAAGGGAAGAGGCCGGTTGTGAAAAGAAAAAGGGCGAGGGTGAGAGGGACGGTGAGGTCGAGGGAGCGACAGACGGAGGCTGGGTGGATGGGTCTATTTTTGAGGCGCCTCAGAAACGGACTCCTCACGAAAAGAAAAAGGGCGAGGCTGGGAGGGTGAGGTCGAGGGAGCGCGAGGGAGAGATTGGCACATGGAGGTTGAGTGGATGGGCTCAAGGGGGATGCGACATGCCACGACGCGGGCCTTAGGCTCAATTGGCACGAGGCGGGTTGATGCACTCACATGGCACGAGGCGGGTTGATGCACTCGCATGGCACGAGGCGGGTTGATGCACTCGCATGGCACGAGGCGGGTTGATGCACTCACATGGCACGAGGCGGGTTGATGCACTCACATGGCACGAGGCGGGGAATGTTGCGGATGAGAATTGGCTCCCGGAATACAGTGCCTGCAGGGGAGGGAGGAGAAGAGAGAAGAGAGGAGCGAGGAGAGGAGAGAAGAGAGGAGAGAGGAGAGGGTGCACGGATGGGGCAGGGGAACAACAACAACAATTGAAGGATGCAGGGAGCGAGTCTGCTTTTGAGTCGACTAAAAAACAACAACAATTGAAGGACGCATGGAGCGAGTCTGCTTTTGAGTCGACTAAAAAACAACAACAATTGAAGGACGCATGGAGCGAGACACAAGGCGACTAGAAACAGGAGAGATGCATAGAGGATGGGAAGAGATGCATGGGATAGTCAGCGCATGCACACACACACGTACACACACATACACACACATACACACATACACACATACACACACATACACACACATACACAAACATACACACATACACACATACACACACATACACACACATACACACACATACACACACAAACACACACACACACACACACACACACACACATACACGCACATACACACACATACACGAACAGACGCACGCATACACATACACATACACATACACATGCAAATGGCACATACACACAGAGACGCACACACACACACACACACACACACATCCATAGACACATGCACACATGTGGCATCGTACCATTCAGTATGTTGCGTATGGTGCCTGCAAAAGCAAGGAGGAACGCAATAGACAGGGCAAACGCAGATGGGAAGTGCAAAAGGAGTCATTAAGCGTCCTACCACGCCACACGCCATTTTAAGTTACATGGTGAGGCGCCTCACAAAAGTTACAAAATTTGTCACCATAGCTTTCAGCACGTCTTTATCAGTTGAATCAGACAAGGCGCATGCACACTCCCCTACCCCCACCTCTCACCCCCCCCCCCCTTCTCCCCACCTCTCATCCCCCTCCCCCCCCTCTCCCCACCTCTCATCCCCAACCCCCCCCAACCACTCACCTCAACCCCACTACCCCTCCGCCCCCCCTTCATTCTATTTCTCCACTTCTAATATTTGCTGCCTGCAACCTTGCCACGTGGCGTCTCACCATTGGGGCTCTTCCACATGGTTTTGAGTCCGAATTCCCGCACCCTGTCTTCATCTGCAGGCAGCCAGCACGCAGGGAGGGAGCGGCGGTTGCAGACATCTTATCTTCGGGACATCTGCTGCTCAGATTTACTTGCAGAGAGAGGCGATTTACTTCGGGACCCTCCTCCCTTCCTCCCTCCCTTCATTTCCTCACTTCACATCTCCGCCTTTCCTCCCGGCCCGCACAAACACTTCCTGCCCCACCCCAAGCCCTAGGCGCCATGATTCACATACCAGGGGTGATTGTTGCACACTTGACCGCCACATTGTACCTGCGAGACAATAACGAATGGGATTGTAACGAGATGCTTAGAAGTGGGAACGATCGTGGTAATGAGGACAAAAAATGCACCACAATCACCGAGCTGAAAAAACAATGGGGGGGTTGGGGAGAATGAGGGGGGGGGAGAATGAAGGGGGGAGATGAGGGGGGAGATGAGGGGGGAGAGGGGGGAGATGAGGGAGGGAGGAAGACAAGGAGGGTTTGCCATTGAGGAACCAATTTTTAGGAAGCAGAAGCTGAGAAAGAGGCATCCTTTTGGCCTGAGCACACGGGGAGCCTGCTTACTTGAGCGTTGCCTGAGCACTCTCCACCGTGACTTGGTCGTTTGTGGCCTCACGATGGGGCAGGCCGAGGTCGAAGTACTTGACGTTGAGATCGAGAAATGGGTGTATCAGCTGCCGAGTAAGGGGTTGAGAAGGGTGGGGACGGAGGGGAAGACTTGGCACCACGATGGGGCAGGCCGAGGTCGAAATACTTGATGTTGAGGTCGAGAAAGGGGTGTATCAGCTGCAGGAATTATGTATGCAGGGAGAAGAGAAGGGTGTTTGCACAGCGATGGGGCAGGCCGAGGTTGTTATACTTGATGTTGAGGTCGAGAACGGGGTGTATAAGCTGCAGACACTCAAAGCAGGGAAGGATGGAGACGACTTTGCATAACGACGATTTTTTAGGCGCCTCAAAAATCTACTTTGCACAGCGACAACAACGACGGGTATGACCCGACGGTTCGGGTCTTATTAGCAGTATGACGTAACGTGCATGCACGTATGATTTGCCTTCTCTTTGATCATAGACCAAATGACCCGCGCCATTTCATCTCCGTTACAAGTAATGGTTATGCTGCATACATACATAGGGTGCACGTACCTTCTCGTTGATCATGGCCCAGATGACCCGCGCCATTTCATCTCCTGCAAATCAGTGGTACGCTGCATGTGCACTTGCCATTAGCCTGACGACATAGGGTGCATGTACCTTCTCTTCTATCATGCCCCAGATGACTCGCGCCATTTCATCTCCGTTACAAGTGATGGCCATGCTACATACATAGGGAAGGTGCACGTACTTTCTCTTTGATCATAGACCAGATGACTCGCGCCATTTCATCTCCTGCGAAGCAACATCCGAAATTTATCAAAACTTTTGCAACGGTGCACAAGGAAGAGGGGAGAGATTAACAGCAAATCCGTACCGTCCATTTCCACGATCGGATTATCCACCGGGATCTTCTGGAACCCCATGATCGCCCCTCCGCCACTCTCGCCGCCCAAAAACGACTCCAATCTGACCGTTACGCGACGGCTGTGACTCGGGGCCTTGGCAGGAATGCTCAGAAAACGGCCGAAGGTCGCGGGTTCGAATCCAGGATCTGGAGGAATTCTGGCACGTAATCCGGTAGCTACTCTGCAGCAGAGATGCCTAAGGTGTGTCATGCGCGATTGACCTAAAACTGCGAGTCTGCTTTCTGAAAGAACTCTTCCCAACTGGAAGGAGACAATCCGACAGGCGAAAGCTGACTCAAGAAGCAGGGCGACAGAACGTAGCTCCCGGCTAGAGGGATTCGTCGATGCAAGAGGAAGGCGAACGAGGCGTGGAAGCAGAAGGTGATTGGTTGGTTCAGGTACTCTAGGCGCCACGGACTTGGCGATAAACACAGCGCGTAAGTTGAGTGTGTGCAACGTGGCAGTATGGAAACGAAGCATGGCTGGAGAAGCGTCAGATACACGAGAATCCCTTCCTACATCCCTTTCTGTGTTCATCTTGGGATTGATATTGAAACCTACATCTTCTATTACTATTTTACCCTTCTTCCCTTCCCTCTATTTCATGTTTCCAAGAAGTGCCACATAACTCAGCAAAACGGGTTATTTCCTTACCATAGTTGAGCAGAAAATATATTATGTTTTACAAACGGGTACATGAATCAATTGATAGCACAATATTTATAGTGTGAGTTGAATCGTTTGAATGGAACAATATTTCGCATGTGTTATATCATAAGATAAGTTTTAGCATCTTTGTGGCCGACTGGACTGGTGCAGTGTTCATTCTCAAGAACGGAAGACGACAAACGCCCGTTACCGTATTACACCTTTATTCCAGTACAATGCTCATTCATTAGGCTTTCTCCGTTCATCTACAAGCTCGCTGATTCGAAAACACGGGCAACGGCTCGAACCACAGAGGCCCAATGATCTCCATCAGTTACCACATCTGATACTGAGACCTCCAAACGTGCAGACGGGACTTTCTGAGGCCTCACACTGTTGCCCGATGAACGCAGAAGAAACAACAATGGTCCCCGCTTGAGACTTAAAAATGCCAATTAGGTAACCAGACTACCCTATATTGGCCCATTTCGCCATTAAAAGTTTTGCGCTTGATTCTAAAGTAACCGCTCGAAAACAAAATAGGCTTGAAAAGGATTTCATGTGTACAGCAGTTTGTTGTGTCTGTCGAGAAAAGTCGAGTGGGGCTGCCTGGCTGAATTCAGTTCCTTCCGTCGTTTCTACGGCTTTTCTTGACTGCTGCTGCTGACTGTTCCTCCTCCTCAGTGCTGAGCTCATGTCACGCTAAGTTCATTCTTGGGAAACGTCAAGTGTTCTTGTCGTGTTAGCTGGCTGCGAATGGATCCAGCCGAGTGCAGCTGGCATTTGGTCTACATTCCAGCCAATGGCAGAGGGGACAAACCCAACTTACAGACCTCACTCACGCATAGCTGCAGTCACTTGGTAACCATGATGTCGGTGATCCTCGTGTGGGCTCGCAGAGCTCCAAAAGCAAAATTGGCGAACTGGCCCGAATGCCGTGCTTTTGAAATCTCTCGTTTCATTGGAGAACTAACATGACCATTTTTCCCACGCGAATCTTGCACTCCCACCCACAGGCGGTTACCCTTTCTATCCTGCATCCTGATTGGCCAAAAACAGTCGTTTGGTCCTGATCCGCGGTTCGACTGAAGTAGTGCGGTCCGATGTGAAACTCCCTTGTCCCCTCTTCCTCCCCGCTCCGCTCCTGTCGGGCTTTCCCCCTCGCTTGGCTCTATTTGATGTTCTCCAATGATCTGCCCGATGTCTGCCCATACTCTCTCCCATGTACCCTTGTTGCCCGGGTCAGTCGCCCCATGTTTTTAAGCGGCTGGGACTGAAAGCGCCCCAGACACTTCGCGCACCTCGCCACGGGAAGAATGGGATTGTAAGTATGTTGGAATGTTACCGCTTTGGCATACGCGGATTGCGACGGGGGGCTGAATTTGTACTTTCTGAATTTGTGGTTTCAGAAATACCCGGTGGACGAAATATGACATGCTGTCATGGCTGGCAAGTTCCACTCTCGCCGTTGTCTTCTCTGGAAACAGTGCGGGCCATGTTCTAGAAACGGGGGTGCGGTTGCCCGTGCTAGAAACAGAAGTGATGCGGGAAGCTTTTGTGAGTGAACCGAGACGTGACTGACTAGGGCAACAAGGTTAGTGTACCATCTCCGCCAACCATCACCTTTTGCCCCTCGTATCTGCGCCCTGTCCGCCGTCCCTCCCTCGCCTCTGCTTGCTCCCATTCCCCGCTTTTCAATTCTACACATCCTTTCACCCCCCCTCACATTCTCCTCACAAACCACACCATAGTCGCACAATCTTGCCGCGTCACATCACATCACATCGCTATCTCTCCGCGTCACTGTGCTGTTGCGAAGCAGGATTCCACTCCACTCCACACACCCACACACATCCTTATTCCAAAAGTCTCTATGTTCTCTACATCACCTTGACCGTCACACTCCCATGATCTCGTCCCATCAGTACATAAACTCCGTCAGCGTCGCTTTCCGTCGCACATCCTCACTCACCCATTCACGACAGGCTATCCTAGCTTTCCCACGATAAGCTAAAGTCGCCCCTTTTGCATGTAAAGCAGCAGCACTAGCAGCAGACTCAGCAGCAGGGACTGACAATGGCGGTTCGCCACTTTCCATCAGCCCGCGCTTCCGAGGAGCTCTTCGACGCCTTCGCCTTCAGCGGCGTCGTCGGCGAGGGCCAGTTCGGCCGCGTGTGGCGCTGCGTCGACCGCGCGACGGGCGCGTCGCTAGCCTGTAAACAGATCCGCAAATCCCACCTCACGCAAAACGAGCTGGACTCTCTCGAACGTGAAATTTCCGCCATGAAATCCCTGCACGGCCATCGCCACGTTCTCCCGCTCCGCGGTCTGTACGAAGATGAGAAATCCGTCTACATTCTCACGGATCTGTGCGACGGCGGCGATCTTTTCAGCCACGTCGTCGAGACGGGCGGGATCCCCGAGCGAGCGGCTGCGATGATCTTCGCGCAGATCGCGGATGCCGTGCGATGGTGCCACGTGCACAGGATCGTGCATCGCGACATCAAGCCCGAAAACGTTCTCATCACCACCACCACTCTCGCCACTGGCACGACGGCTAGTAGCCCTAGTACCAGTCCCCCGTTGCCTGTTCAAGACACGTCCGACGTTCGACTCGAAGCGCGCCTCGCGGATTTCGGCCTCGCGATGGAGATCCCGAGGGGGTTCTCTCTCCGCGGCGCGGTGGGCAGCGCGCCGTACGAGGCGCCGGAAGTCCTTGCGGGAGATCTCTACAGCTTCGGCGCGGATATCTGGTCTCTCGGGGTGCTGCTGTACGCGACGATCTCAGCCAAATGGCCGTCTTTCCCGGGGAACACGCGGAGATTGCTGCCGGAGGTGGATTTTTCCATCGCGCCCTGGCCGTACGTGTCGCACGAGGCGAAAGATCTCATCCGTCGGATGCTGACGCTGGACACGACCCAACGGCTGGACATCGATGGCGTGTTGGCGCATCCATGGCTCCGACTCGGACCCCGAGCCTTCGCTTCACCGCCGATCAATAAACCGCTCCAACTCGCATCATCATCAAAACATTCTTCATCATCATCGAATGCCCCTAAACCGGCGGGCGATGCGCAATCGGATCAACCCAAAGTGCCCAGATCACCCAACGGTGTTGGTACTACTACTAGCAGTAGTACTACTACGACCACGCCCACTGAATCGCCCACCACCGCTTCCTCACCTACCACTGGTGGAGCGTTTCCCCCGTCTAAAGCGCTCCAAAAAGACCGCTCGCGTGAGCCCGAGTCCGACTCGAGCACCGCCGGTGCCGCGAGCGGCGCAGGTGGCGCAGGCTGGCCGAGGCAGGCCAGCTTCGGCGACTGGAGCGAGTGCGGAGCGGAAGGTCGTCGCGCGGACGCTGGTCGCGCGGACGCTGATCTCGCGGACCTCTATCACGCGGAGGCCGACCGGCGCAGCGCGGCGGAAGCAGCGAATTGCGGCGCTGTCTCGTCGCGTCAGTTGTGGTCGCGGCGCCCACCGACGACTGCCTCCGACGCGTCGTCCCGCGGAGGCAGCAGGAGCGATAGCAGCAGCGGGAGCGACGGCTGCAGCAGCAGCAACAGCGGAAGCAGCAGCGGCGGCAGCAGCAGCAGGCCGAGGAGGTTGAAGCGGGAAGAGGGGATCGGCGGCAGCAGCAAAGAGAAAGGGGCGCAGGATGACATTCGTTTCCCCGCAGCTCAATCCCCCGCAAGCGCACGCGTGGGCGGCCCTCCCAAGTCTCCCTCCCATACCAATCCGTCCCTATGGTCTCCTGCCGGGACTCCTGCCGGGTCTCCCGCCGGCAGCAGCGACGCCCCGTCGTCTGCCGTCTCCCGGTTGTCCCCCAAGGCGGCGTCTCCCACGCTGCCCTTCCCGCGGTCTGCATCGACCCAGACCATGGCTTCTCTTCCTCTCCAGTCCCCCAGGCTGCCCCCGCTCCGGGGAGCATCACCCACGGCAAAGCCAGCACCTCGCTCTTGTCCCCCCCAGGGAATTCCCCTTCAGCCGTCTACCCCCAAGGCTTCTCCGCGCGACAAGCCGCGCACAGGGGGGTTTTCAGCCTTCCCAAAGAGCCTCTCCGTGAAGGGGGCATCAGAGAAAGGGGTGTCTGAGTCCCTGGCTGGTAAGTCTCGACCGCCAAGGAGACTCACTAAGCCCAGCAGCGGCTCTTTGAACGAGAGAACCCCACACAGCAGCAGCAGCAGCAGCAGCAGTGGCCGTTCAGGTGTTTTTTCAGGCAGCAGCAGCAGCCGTTCCCGCGCCTGGCATCGCCGCACGGTCTCGGATGTTGAGCGCTCCCCTGCTATTCCCATCGCTGTCCCGGAGCTCCCTCTATCAGATCTCCCTGTACCAGACCTGCACGTTTCTGACTGTCAGCCATGCCCTCATCCTCCTCGCATTGTTATTCCACCCAGCCCGGCAGTGAGCGACTCGCTCTGTGATGATATTGATGACAATGAGCTGACCCCTACTTTCTGCTTTCGGCCAGCTGCTGCAATCCCCCCCCCCCCTGGTAGCCCACCTGCCAGGGATATTTCTTCCCCCGCTGCTTCTCCAGATGGAGGGGCAGCTCAGCACAGGCGTAAATTGTTACTAATGCCCTCGGTTGCATCATCCTGCTCGCGCTATGCTAGGAATATTTTTGCGCCTGCGGCAGTAGCCATGGCGTCTGGTCCATGGCAGTGGCAGTAAGCATATCGATAGATCTTGAAATATGTTGGTGTACGCTATTGCATTGAGATGTGTTTTATACATATTGCATACCAAACAATTGCACACTGGCCAAAAGGCATGAAATTTAGCAGTTCCTCCTGTATTGCTC